CATACGAACGAGTTTCTTTCTTCTTTTTTTTCTTTTTTTTTTTTTTTTTACGCCCTCCAAACGAGCACCGCGTTTTAACCATTCTTCGATCTTCTTCGCTTTGTCACTGCGCGAAACTGGTCGTCGAAATCACTTTGCTCTAAATCATAGAGCCCTGTGCCTCTATCGATTTGCATGCGAATACCGATGCATCGTGTTTAGATGAATCGAAATTATTGCGTATCTATTCGGCACGGTGCTAATGAAATTCACGAGTCCGCCGTGACAATGGGATCGTCTTCACCATCATGGGCGCATCATGGATCATGGCCGAATTTCACAGAGCGTGTATTTCTGGAACATGCTGGTAAACCATGCAGGGCGGGTATACGCGGCCAATCCGGGATCCATCCATCCTACGGATCCTGCGATTAACGTACACGGATTAGGATTAAGGTTGGCGCAGATTTTCGATGTGGACTTCGGGATTGAAGTGTGCACGCATGCTATCGGGGATCGTACGGTACGGGGGTAAGAAGAGATGGCCGGAGGGGGATACACGTTCATACAATGTCCGGGGTACGTGCGCGACCTATGGAAAACCTTTTCACGCTCGGTTCTCCACGTATCGCGTCACGATCCTCCCCACCGGAGGACCGATCCTGACAACAATGACGACGACAGTCAATGCACATTACAACGGTTTTATGTTATTAATACGGACGCATTGGGCGGGATTTGAATAATTGAACAGATCTGCCGGATCAACGATTTGACGGGGGGAGGAGGAGGGGGAAGGGGAGAAGAGGGAGGTAATAGTTTGGCATCGTATACGCTACCATCTATGAGTATTTGGCCACTTTCTTTTCATTGCAAATATAAATAAAATGTGATGCGTTCGAAACTCAGTTATCGGATCGATTGATTCTTAAGATATCGTGGAAGGAAAAATGGGATAATTAAATTATTCTATTTTTTTTAAGTTAATACAAGTTAATACGAAGTATGGTTAGTTTATAATTTAAAAAAAATTATCGATCGAAGAATTATTGAAGACGAAATGAGAAATTCGTTGAAATTCGTGTGGAAGAAAATTCGGAAAGATACGAAAGAAAATCATTAACGCTGTCATTAACGCATTATATTTACATTGATGAGCGAAATATTTAACAATTTATTTAAGAAATGTATTTATTATAGCGTATATTAAACATGTAATGCATTTTAATATTGTGTCTAAGATTATTTGGATCAATTTAAAATTATTTCAATAATTATTTTATACGTATCATTTGGTTATTTTATGTATATAATTGTAACAACTTAATTTACATGCAAAACGTATATTAATTATTGAAATTTAAAATATTTAGGTATCTAGATATTTATAGATATTAATTAAGAGAATAATGTATTAAAACTATATATATTTTAACATATTTATTTTTAATATTAATTTTTGAATATTAAAAGTAAAAATTTAGACATATTGTTAACAAAATACTAATATTATTTATGATTATTGTATTGAAATTGTTTGAAATACTAGAAAAATAGATTGCAATAAATATTTCAATATTTTTAAAAAATAAACGAGTTTTGATACTATATTTACTTTTTAATTTATGTTATACATAAGATAAACGATTCCTTTCAAAAATAAATAATTCTTTGAAATACATATATATTCTTTTCTCTGTGTATAAATTTTATTATCTATCGCATTCAAACTTTCTTACTATATATTGAATTAATTATATAAACATTTTATTATTAACAATTAAATGATCGAAGTATTTTTAGCTTCCTTTTTCATTACTACAAAGTGAAATAGAGAAGGAACAGCAGAAGATGCATTCAAAGTTTTATATCAAGGTATTCATATTTCTCAGTTAATCGTTTTTAAATTACTTACACTTTTTTATTTTTTAAAATTGGAAAAAACTTTAATCATATCAAACGCTTATTAAATAGTTTCGGATTTCCGCCCGCTAATTTCATAAAGCTTGAATATCAATATCCCAATATCAATATATTAATACCTACACCAAATGATTAACAAGATGATTTAATATCCTTTATAATTAACTAAATTGCCGAATTATATTCTTTGTTTTATTACTCCTAATGGGCTATTGCGCATTAGATATTAGAGAATTTTGTACAGACTTAACGTTGAATTCGTTCGAATTATATTCAACTAATACGGAATACCGTACGCAGATTTATTTGTTTATGCAAATAACAACCAGTCCGAAACGGCATCGAATTCCCATTCGATAATACGAGACCTCAGTGTAATCCACACGTTAAAATCATAATATCCTCAAATCTGACCAATAGGTATTATGAAAAAAAATTGTTTCGGTTATACGTGCAGAGAGGTTCGGTTCGGTTCGCCGTTTCAATCTGCGAATCAATCAAGCACGCGCGCGCGCACGCTTGCGAGAAAATCTGCGTTTCATCCGAATGCCAACGATTCTGTATCGCGATATCCATAATACGCCAGTTTTATAATATCCACGTTATAACGCAGATTAAAAATATCGAACCTTATTTTTATCGAATTTGTCAATTGTTGACGTGATCTTGTTCTAAATGATATTTAGATGCTGTACGATTTTTCAAAGAGTTGCAAAACATGAAAGAATCGATTATTGTTTAAAATGTTATGTAAAAATAAATCGAAGAATATACATGCTAACGGATGCCGTAATATTAAAATGAAAAGGTACAGTATCAACTAAAAGTTTGAAATCATTTGTCCATCCATGTGAACTTCAACGAAGAAGAAAAATTTAATTAAAAATTTATCGAAGTAAAGTTTTAATGAAATTAATAAGAAGTTCAATATAAATAAAATATATAATTTCAGACTTTTTTAACTTTTTTATTTTTTTGAATAGTGATATATATTCTTAAATTATTTAATAAAAATTTTTAGATAATGTTATAATTGAAAACAGAATCTCGAATTAACTATTTTTCAACGAGAAAGAGAAAAATCCAATTTTTCAATTATGTATGTAATACATATATAGATTTATCATAAATCTTGGATCATTTTGGAAAATCCAATTCTGTCCTTTTCTCGCATACGCCTAATAGAAAACAACAATTTTTAATCCATAAAGCAGAATAAATCAATAAATTGTCTCATTGTTTTACTTTAATAAGAAATAATCAGATAATTTGATTTAAACATATTCATTAAGAAACTTTTCCATATTTTGCAGAAATATTCTCACAACTTTTTGAAACCTCCTGTACACACCTCCTACGAAAGTAAATTCGATCTTCGAGTTAAATTGAACGAATTGAAGAAAGAGCGAAAAGATATCGGAAGCAAAGATACGAAACATCCGTACAATAATCTCTCCGGTTACGAATCTCTCTCTCTCTCCCTCCCCTCCCCCCTCCCTTCCTCTCTCTCCCGCCCCCATAGCTGCGAGGGAAACATGGAAATTATTTTCAGAAACAATATCTGAGCGAATTCGATCATCGTAGGGAAACCGTTCAAATCCAAACACTTTTAGAAGCATGATTAATTCGCGAATACGATTCGCGCAGTGTAAACTCGGAAAGCTGTGTAATACGCGAGACACATCGTGATTATCCGTTGTAAATACCGTTTCTTTCACCATTTCCACCGGTGCACAATCGTCTCTCTCTCTCTCTCTCTCTCTCTCTCTCTCTCTCTCTCTCTCTCTCCCTCTCTCTTCACCATCCCATACACCGTGGAAGCCCGACGCGTGCGTCGACAGGGGTTGAAAGGACATTCTGCCGGCTCGTTCGGCGCCTCCCCTCCCCTCCTGCCACTTTTTCAATCCCGAAACCATCGCACTGTTGTCAGAAGATCGCACCTCCGCATGCATCCTCCCGGAAACCATTCCTCCTCGTCGGGTGCCACCGTTTTCGTTCGCCCGTCTCTCTTTCCCCGTTTGGCTTCCTGCTCTCGAGCCTCCCCCGTATCCCTTTTCATCTCCACGACACTGCCTCGTAGGGGATGTCGAGCGGCGAAGGGTGGTGGAAAAGTGGATGGAGCCAGGGTGAGCCACGCCCCGCTTTAGTGTCGGCAAAACTTCGCTGGATATATTCGAGGGTGTCTCTCTGTCCCTCTGTCACTAATACGGGGGTGGCTACCCGTACGTACGTAGATGCCGGCGAATCTAAGCGCACCCCCCCAGAGGTCAACGCGTACATACACCACCGGAGTCGGACCAGTCGTCGGATATCCTTTATCATCGGTGTCACTCGCTGCACATCCCGACTTCTGCACACGGGCGTCGGATTGATTTCGTCCTCGTGGCTGTCCTCCAAAATACGCCGGCAAATACCACCTCTCCCGTTGTTGCCGGTTAGATCCGATCGATTAATTGTTAACGTTTTTTAACCATCGTCGATCGTCCCTTTCAGCGATCCTGGCGATCGATGAAGCAGTGATTCAAGCTCGATTTTTATTCAGAGTTGTAAAAGATATATTATTATTCGGGAAGTACACGCGATACGAAAATTGTGGGGGATAAGGTTTTGGGTATTTGAGTGGACGGAAATCGAAGACAGTGCATAGTTTTTGTGTGAACCGTTTGTGATGGGACAGAAAGGGATCTCGAGAAATTTCGCATCATCGCGGACTTGAATATATTTTATATTTACACGCGTTGATTTTTCACCGGTGTTCTTGATATGTGATCTTTACACATCTGTTCGGAATAACGAACGCTTGGCCGTGACAGCGTTGTACAATTCCATATATATCGTAGCAACGATCGAAAGCAAGTTTTTCTACGTCATTTTCAAGCGTATCGAAATAAACCTCAGTGTACATCGAAACGTATATACATGTATCTTCAAGAATGCCCTCCCTCAGGTTATAGCAACTTGAGTTTATCCCTCGTGATATACATTTTTCAAAACGATACTCGCCATCTCGTCGATACGGACGTTTAAAAAAAATATATATATATATATATATTTCTCTGTACCAGTGAAAGTTTCGATTTCACAACGATCCCTGTAACATGGTAGAGAGTACCTATGCGAGTGATTCGCCCAGATCGCGTTCTCCGATGACGGAGCCGTCGAGCCCTCTTCAAGATGGTCCCGGAATATCCGGCTACCGATATCTCTACAATTATTCGCCGGAGAGTTTGCAGCACAAGTTGAAGAGCAACGACGAGCAAAATGTGACTGGGAGGCGACATGAGATCGATGGACGCGACAGAACGTTTTCGAGAAGTCCATTGAGCTCCGAAGAGATACGATTCAGACCGCGCGAGGTCTCGAGACCAAGTTCCTCGGCCACCATGTCCTCCCCTACGTCCGCCTTCACCATCGAGAACATCTTAGCGCCTAGACCCATAGGAAACATGACACCCACCAGCACAAGTAGCCTTGGATCGATCATTCAAAACCCGGAAGCCGTGGGTTCGCCGTCGAGGACCACGCCGATCCATCCTCTTCAGCAACAGATCCATCATCTGGCGTTCACATCCGCAGACTTGTTCGGTGAGTTGTTCCGTTTCCGAGTATGGATTAGGTGGTGGAAGATTCTTTTCGACGAAAAATCGGTTGGATCGGTGGAAAGAAATAGGAAAAACATGTTTTTTTTATAATTTCATCGATTCGATGAAATTGAATTCTTTTATTTCAGTTAAAAGATGAATAGATAATTTTTGAAATATTATTGAAATAATTTTACAAATTTATAAAAATTATATTATTTTTAATAACGTTCTAAAATAATATTTATAGAAATATAACATTTTCAATATCAAATATAAAATAATTTCATCTTAATGTCAAAGGTATTATTATGTAAATCTTATTTATTTTGCATAAAATATATATAGACCAATGTAGTTTTTAATATATCTTATTTAAAATCTACATATGTAGAAATAAAGTTGAAGCAACGAGGAAATATTCCGTTGCATAATTTTCAAAATTGAAATCGATTGATTATCGATTAATTTATTAACTTATAAAGTGAATATCCGTCTTTGTCCGTCGAATGTTTTCCTTCATCTTCAGCGCCGAGCAAATATCGACGAGACATAACACTCGCACGAAGGAAATCCCTCGTTAATTCGGAAATAAATAGCTTGCCCCGCGGTTCCGCGTATATTACACGCGTCCCCTCCGCGCTGGATCTCCGTGGCGTAAAAATGAAAGAAGGCGTAAATCCTCGCGGGTGGGCCGACGCGTTCCGCAACGAAATTTCCTTTATGCCCCCGAGGGCTTTAAGTATTTCACCCGCAAGAACCTCGGCGCAGATTGGGGATGCGCAGGCTGAAATCCGCAATCCGTTTCGATCACGCGCGAACGATTTAGCTCCTTGCAATCCCGTGTTGGAAGATGAAAAACGAGAAGGAAAAATATGCAACGCTCGGCGTTTTCCACGGAGAGAGACAGAGTAGGGGCACGGAGATAGAGAGAGAGAGAGAGAGAGAGAGAGAGAAAGAGAGAGAGAGAAGCGCGAGTGACGCCGCGGTTGAAAGCATAAGCATCCACCCTTCGCACATTTTTATGCGGAGACGTCGCCTCTAAGCAGCTTTCTTCGAGATTTTAAACCAAAACATCCCTTGGGACCCGGGGGGTGGTTCCCAGTATTTTTTCCCAGTTCCCTTTTCACGCGGAATAAGGTTGAGTATTGTTGAGAAACATTATTATTAATTTTCATCGCTCTATCGGTGATAAATGCGAAACCTTTCACGATTTTCGATTAATCTTCTTTTAACTCCTTCTTGTTTCTTTATCTTCCTTTCTATTTTTTAGGAAAATAGTAACGTTTTTCATACTGTGAGGTGAACTAATAGGTATTTGTTTTACTCTTATTTGGGAAGCTGAGAATGACGTTCAATGAAAAATCTATATTTAAGAAAAGAATAGCTTTTTTTCGTATCTTTTTACGAAATTCTTTGGTTTCAGTATTGGCTTTAATTTTTAATTAGCCGTGTTGAGGTAACTTGAAATAATGTAAAATATATACATAGAATACTTCTATTATGATTCTCTTCCTTTCATTGATGTGTTTAAAACGAAATGAGAAATGATACTTGATATACTTCAACTATATATTTCAACTACCAGAAATGGAGCGATTATTACCAAAGAGATCGATGGCTTCCTTTACTTTTGATAAAAATTTTTCACCGACGTAACATTTTAAGAAATAGAATTAATTTAATATTATTAACGATAGTTTTTTCTCGTTTTCAGCTGCAGCATATCCTAGTTTATATTCCGGCGGTTACGTGGCAGCAATGGCAGCCGCCGGTGTTTCGCTTCACGGTCAACCGGCCTTCTATCACGCGGCTCATCCCTATCAAATAAATCCAAACGCCGCGGCTGTGGGGCCGATGGCGAAGAGGAAACGTCGTCACAGGACGATATTCACAGAAGAGCAGCTGGAACAACTGGAAGCCACTTTCGACAAGACGCACTATCCAGACGTAATCTTGAGAGAACAGCTCGCTCTTCAGGTCGATCTCAAGGAGGAACGAATCGAGGTGAGTTTAGAAAAAATAAATTATGTTTCAAGATCTTACGTCGCGTATATCGTAGTGACATGAAATTTCAGTTTTTTTGAATGTAAGATTTTTCTTTTCGAAGAAATTTTCGATATTCTCCATTAGTGTTTATAATTTAGATTTATTTTTGTTCTTTGTACTTATATTGATATTTTTCTATTTTTCAATTAAATTTCGTTATATTTTTTTGTATTGTATTGAATCGTAATATGAAAATTAAAATTGAAATGATTGAAATAAAATGTTACTTATCATTCGGTAATATTTCGTATCACTACAAAAATTTGATATTACGAAATGTGGAACTTGATAAAAAATTGAAAGATAAAGATATAATAAAAATACTTTTTTCATCATTATATTATGATGAAGAAATTTTAATTAATAAAACTCGCGTGATTTCCCAAATTAATTATAATGGAATAAATATAATTAATAATATACATAACAAAATAAAAGAAAAAATTAAAAAATATAAAATAACTGAACAAGTATAAAAGTAAAAATATAATCAAAAAACTATAAAGATTTAGAGAAATTCAATCTTATCATTACATCCAAAATAATTATTTTCACAACGATGAATTTAGCTTTTCTTTAATCTTCTTCTTCCCTCCCTTCCTTTTCATTTCTACTTTTTTCTTCATTTTCGAATACAAAAATATTGAACAGTGAGAATTTTACAACGGATAAAATCTAGCTTTAAAGAAACAAACGCTCGTATTCTCATTCTTTATTTTTATCTTCATTCTTTCCCTCCCTTCTGAATGAAAAGAAATTCGAGCATCGTGAGAATTTTACGTCGAAATCCTCCAGAGATCTCATAATCTACTGGCTACTGGCTACTGGCTAAACTGACAAATTACTGTCCTGGGCCTAGGTGAATATTAGGTTTTCGTCTAACAAACATTGACCATTCGGATTGTCGAGAAACTCTTCGGCCCCGAGTACACGCATAATTTCTACCGATGACAAAATATGCCGTCCACTTTCCGGTCTGGAAGTCCTCGAACGTTCCCGTTGTTTATCGCCTTAATGCCACAGCCTCATAATTCTTTAACGAGATCATTAAAATTATTTACGGCCGGTATTTATCGGTCGTCGTTTGACTCGAGCCAACAAATTGCGTGCTAGATTAAAAGCTTTGCTGATAATGTGTTTACTTCAATTATATATATATATATATATGTTCGATCATGCGCGTGTGTCACACACACTTATGCATGCATGTATGTATGTATGTAAAAGCATACAAAACATTGGGGAAAGGGAGATGTAGAATTTATAACGTTTATAACGTTTCGTGTATTTGATGTCGTAAAGATTTACATTGCGCGCGCAATTAATTTGTCACGAGGCTCTCTTATATGTAATTAATCGATGCGATTCGTTGCTCGCTAATTGGTCAAACGTAATTTTTTATTCATGAAACGCGTAACGAGCCGCATCGGTGCTTTTCTATGGAATTAAAATCAAAATTTTTATCGCTCGATGGATGTGTGCATGGACCGGTTGCAAGGATGTTTCAAAGGATTTAGGACAGTGTCATTGAGACTGGATTGTCGAAGGAACCCTTTTCTGCCACGGCATTGTTGCTTCATGATAGAAGGCCCGCGACAAGATCGATGCTCAGTTTCAGTTTGTTGCTCCTGCTCGAATAAAGTATCTTTTGAAAAGAAGATACTTATATAAGAGAAATACAAGCTAATATATTTTTCTATATTTACTAATTATAAAAAAAAAAAATAAAGATATTTTAAAGATACAGATATATAATAATATATTTATAAAAGGGTTAATTTGAGAAACAAATATAGTTTTCGAAAAGTAACAAAACTTTTTCAAATTTTTCTTTGTTTATTTTATTTTTTTTAAGGATTTAATATTTTAATAATTACGAATAACGAATATACGTTAAATTTATTATAATTATACAGTTATTAAAAAAAAAATTCTTTCGTATGTAATATTAAAAAAAAATCATCTTATCTGTATGCTAATTTCTTTTAAAATTTGTTTCCCTAAAAGATGTAACGTTTCAATTTTTAAATTAAACTTATCGAATAATCTTATAATAAACATCTATTTCTCGTTGAAATGTCCTAAGCACCAAAGTTTACCCAACATCGTGAGAGATAAGTTCGCCTCTTAAGAATTATCGTGATGTTGCGATAATGGGACACGAGCCTGGAATTTCTTTATTCGCGTCCGGCAATTTGTTCGAACAATCGTACAATCCCAAAGTCATTCACACTTATCGTAGACCAACAGGCCACCCGCGTCGTCGGCTTTGCCAAAGGAAATCCCTTGTCTCGAGAGTCTTTAAAGACTTTGAAACAACATATACCTGCAGCGCACCTGCCGCATCGAGGCAAGAGTTTCGATGTTTGTACAGAATTAGTAGAAAGGCGACTTTCGAAACGAGAAAAAGAGAGCGAAAGGAGAACGGGGGAAATAAAGGAAAAGACGAGAAATACTAACTCGAGAGAGGTGGGCCTAAGGCACTCGGTTCCTCCCTGTTTGGAAAGAAGCTGTGTGTTTACACACAGCGCGACGTTACGCTCTTTTTCCTATCCTCGTGATTGCATCAACAGAATGCAGAAACACGAACAACGATGCTGTTGTTGTAAAAGCAAAAACGTAAAAGCATCTTATACGCGTTAGATATACAAAATTAATTCGATGAAAATTATAATTATTTATAATTATATGATATATGATAGGTGTAAGTTATTTAAGTTTTTGATTTAAAAAGATCGTATAATTTTTATGCATATTATAAATTGCTTAAAATTGGATAAGCATAAAAATATTATTTCTAATAAATAATAATAATAATAATAATTGTTTTTTCTTTCAAATAATTTTTATTATTTATGATTTTAATCCTTTCGAATAATCGCTATTATTTTCGAGAATTTTTCATCTTTTAAATAATTTTCGAATCTGCTAAAAAAAGATGGCGATTTTGATAAAATTATTGATGCAATCTCATCCTAGAATAAATGATAATTGCATAAAGTCATATTAGAAGAATATCCACAAAATTTTTTAGTCAAAAAAACAAATTATATTTTTTATCTTTCTTGCAAAATATATTAAACAATTTCTCTTTCTAAATTCATCATTTAAAGAACAAATTGTATACATCAAACTAAAGTTATAAATATTTTAATATAAGCTTAGTTAACTTGAAAAACAAATTAATTTTTATATTAAATATATTTACTGATAAAAATAAAAAAAAATTTCTTTATATTTTTCATTTTTTATTTTGTCCTTATGCAAATGCATATTCAAAAAAAAATTATTATTTATCGAAGTATGAATTGTTATCCCTCTATATTATTTTTAATTCTACTTATCTCAGAAGATGAAACACACAAATATATAAATATATAAATTCATTAATTTGTTTCTTAACTTTGATCAGTAAGTGTATAATCGAAATTGAAGAAAAATTTGAAATTTAATGAATAATTCTTCAAATAAATAAATAAATAAATAAATCTTAATTTCTCGAATGATAAAAAACAAGTATATTTAGATGAATTGGTAACGAAGAAAAGTTGTTTTTTTCTAATACACAATAATATAAAATATTTTATATAAATGTCGTATATGTGATGATTTCGCGTAAATAAATATATCGTATAAAATATACACGATGCAACAGGAACGGATACAATGCTGTGTGATTATTGCATAATTCAACGGTTAAGGGAGAGATCAATGCGATATTTGAAACGATGAAACATCTATCGGTAACAACCGAGAGATATTGATTGTCGGGGGTTTCGTTTAAATCGAGTCGGACAAGCGTGAAGAACAAATGCTGATTTCGAACGTGGGATGAAACCTTTTGATCTTCTCTGGCTCCTGCACCTCGTTAAAAGTCTTCTCGATGAAATACGCGCAGGTAAAGGTGATTATCAATTAAGTGTTGTATCTGTCTTGATAAAAATTAAGATATGTTTGGCAATTTTTCGATACGATAAGCGAATGATTGAGCATGATGTTGTTTTCTTTGAATTGCTTCGAATCTTCTTCTATTTAATTTAATATTAAAATTAAATTAAAAACTTACGATATATAAGATAAGAAAAGTTTAAAAAAAATTAACAAACAAATTTTATTATCGCAGAATGATTAGCAATATTGAATGGTTTTAAATGAATGAGAAAATCACTTTGATTATCTTTATAAAATGACAATATAATAGTTAGATATTAAAATAAATAAGTTAAAATTTAATTTATTAATTAAAAATGACAATAGTGATTCTCTAAAAAGTAATAAGCTTTTGTGAATCACAATCCATAGATTAGAATATCTCTAGTTAGTTATCTATAGTAGATTTCATGATATTTTTAAATATAGTATATTACATTCATAAATTTTCTTGAAATTTATAAATAAAATATTTTCCTTCATAAAATGTCGAAATATTAAAATTCTGTATAAATATTCTCAATATTCTTTTGTTCAAATTCTATCAATTTATCTATATCAAGTTAATAATTTATAAATTTACTTTTTTACAAAGAATTTATATATATTTTTATTTATATATAAAAAAAATGTTATTTATTTTAATTATGGCAAATAAAAATAATATAATATATAGTATTTTTACTTTATACTTTACAAGAACAGGAAATTTCTTATCATAAGTCAAATTACATATTTCTTATACATGATAAACATTATTACAATTATTACAATTATTTTCAATTTGAAATTTTTTATTTAAATAATTTTTATAAATAAACTAATAGAAATTGACGCTTAATAATAACATAAAATGAAGCATAAATTTTATATTAAAATTATTTATGATTACTAAGAACAATATAAATGAAATTATTATTCAAATTTCTCTAATAAAATAAATACATTATTATTATATATAATACATTATTATATATTATGAAAAATATTCTGTATATATTTACATATTTTTATATATATAGCAACATATAAATAGCAACATTTAAATAATTCTTTCGCTCAAAATAACAAATTTTGAAATAATGTATTAACTTGATAAAATAATTCACAAAAATCTTTATACATTTCATACGAAATTTGGCAACAAAGTTTGATTAGAATTAAAATTTTTATTGATATCATTATATTAAAACCAATAAAAATTCTGATTTTAATTAAATTTTGTGAATACATAAAGCATAGTGAAAATTAAAGCATAATGAAAATTAAGTTTTAATATTTTTTTCATTTTCTTTATAATTATAATATAAAATATAATCTTATTATAAAGTATAATCTGTAAAGTAAAAATTAATTAAAATAAATAAAAATTATAAAAAAATAAGTATAAAGTATAATTAAATTTTAAAATTATCTGTTTTTAAAGTTAAGTTGCTCTTGCATGACTCTATTGTAATATTCCTATTTTGAAATTGTATTCGAAACATGAAAAATTTGTTGAAATTTTGAATTTTGAATATAATTCACCCTCTCAAAAAATATTACTTCATGTAAATAACTTATTATATCCTCTTCATATTATATGTATACAAATTTTCATTAAAAATCAGAATTTTTAAATTAATCGAATTTTCTCATAAGATAATTGATTATAAACAACTTTTGCAATTGATTTTAAATTACAGAAAACACCTCAAAATTTATTTTTAACTTGATATCAATGAAATAATGAAAAGAAGTAAAATTTACCAAGCAAAAAATTGCAAGGGAAGCTATATTATACGAGCCTCTATTTACAATATTTCGCTTCGATTTCAAGCGTTCTTCCAACACAAAGAATCATCGTCTTCCCGCGCGCTACAAAAATTTATACCTACGAAATAAATGCGACCAGTGGACCACGATGAGATTTCCTCATCAAACATTTCCTATTCCAGGTGTGGTTCAAGAACCGACGTGCCAAGTGGCGTAAACAGAAAAGGGAAGAGCAAGAACGTATGCGGAAACTTCAGCTGGAACAACGTCAACGGGCCGACGACAACGTGCCAACGCCTACAGTCAAAGTGCCCGAACATTTGACATTAACCAGGCAGCAACAACAACAACAACACGAACAGGACACCGATAGCTCGGATCTCGAAGTGGCGTAGTCAAAATATTGGTTGTAAACTCTTCTTTTATTCTTCTTTGTTTTTTCTTTTTTTTTTTATTATTATTATTATTTTTTTTTTCTTTCGTTTTTATTTCTCGTCGACGACGATTCAAAACAGATTCAAAACAGACTGGTTTTTCCCTGTTACAGGGGACAAACGTGTGTAAATACGGAATTAGGATGTAAATATATTTGTACATACAGCTTACGATCGATGTGTAAAATATAGGTAGTGAAATAAATTATTGATTCCCAGATATGAAACGAGAATGGGATTTTATTTTCACTCTTCCGTTCTTATTCCTTCGAAGATCGATTTAAGTATTTAACGTTAGATTGTAGGTTGAATAGAACGATTTATAATGAGATATTGGTAATTATAGAATAAAAATATAGTTTTATATTTTATCTTGAAATGGAAACTAATTTCAATAAAAATCGATAATTATATTCAGGAATTTAAATATTGTAAAATATTTTATGGTAAACGATTCAGGTATTATGTCGCCATCAAACGAATAATTAAATTATTATTTTTTTTGTCTTTATTTATCTGTAATAATTTTTTTTCAAAATATGGAAAAATATTTGCTGAAAATATTATTTCGTAAAGTAATTTTTTCATTTCCATTATAGAATATAATAGCACTAAGAAACAGTGATTAATGAGATTAATAAAATAAAAATTTCATTGTACTTAAAAAATATAAAAGTATAAATATTTATAAAAGTAAATAAAAGTATTAAGTTTTTATATTACGAAAAATTAGAAATAGATAACAATTAGATAACAATTTATTTTTATTATCTAAAAGTTATTTTTATTATCTAAAAGTTGATTATTAGATCTATATTTTGATTAATATTTTTTCCATTTTTTGATAATTTATTCAATAAAATTAACATAGAATAATTATCTCTTTATAAATCTTAATACAAATAAAATTAAAAAATATCTCCAAATTCAACGATTTTCGAATGATCACTAAATCATTATTAAATCTTTGATAATGATTAATAGTAATTCACTCTAATTCGCAAATTTTTGTATTACAATTTCAATGCAAATGTAACACATGCGATACATAATCATACACTGAGAAATTTCATTGTAAATTTAAAAAAAACTATTTAAAATTATTATTTGTTAATTTATTAAATTTATTTAATAAAATTTTATTTAATAAAAATTTATTAAATTTATTTAATAAATTTCACAACTTAAATCGATTAGAAGATAGCTGAAATATTTAAAAAATTTTATATTATCCTCTGATTACTTTATCTATATATTATTTCTTTATCCACTGATCACTTTCACCAGAGGAATGTATCCTGCACGACTTTCACGTTACAGAGTGGATCAGTGATTAAAATCCCCGGGCAATTTCCACGAACGTTGTAGTTGAAACTTAGTTCTACGTGCCTTGACGATTATATTATTAGTATTGTGCGATAGGAGTGAAAGAGCAGTTAGCCGGTTCATGGACACCGTAAGTTACACGAGAGAGGAAAGTTTGAACTAAGTTCGGGTAAGTACATAAATCCGGGGGGCGACCAAGAACTAAGACGTTCTATTGCGGTACAAGTTTAATAGATTCCGCGCTGTTGTTGCACTGCAATCTAAAGACGATCGACTTAAACCCAGTTCTTTTCCTATTTTTCAAATTTTTTACTCGAAAAGTTTTTGAAATTTTTTCAAGATCTCTTTTTTGCTTGTTCGAAATCGACAAATACTTTTTCTTTTCTTTTTGGTCTGTCTTGATAATTTTCATTGAATCCTTGAAATGTTTTTATAATACTTTTCATAGCATGATTGAATAAATTGCAGATTTTTTTACAGAACTAAAGAGCAAACGGGTATAGAATAATTTCTTATGAAAAATTTGGCCGAATTCTATATATAGAAAATGTTATATTACGCAACATATATTAGATTTTTTAATATTCAGACTGGAGATTTATAACTTCAAGCAACATTTTTCTTTGCAAAAATTTTCATTTTTAACTAACTTTAACTAACTTTTACTAACGAATTATTAATAAAAAGTTATTAATAGGTATGTACAATACATATGTATATACGTGCATATAAAATGTTTTAATATTTTATATTGTATATTACTTATATTATATTACTTATATATATAATTAACATTATTTTCTTTTTCAAAATTTTTTTAAATTAAATTGCTATTATTTGTTTCATATCTTATTATATTATTTTCTAAATTATATATTATTGCATAGATATTTCTTTTTTATTTCTTTTATTATTAACATTTTAGCTAAATAGTTGTAACTTTATTGCAAAGAATCTGTTTACTATGCTTGATATTTAATAATATATCATCTGATATGCATTTATATTATTTATAAATAAAAATAAAATATTTATTTCAAATCTGCGATTTAATAATTAATAAAAAAATAATGAATAAAAATTATTGTATATTTTATTCGTATAAGTAATTTTGGGGAAAATTTCAAATGATAGTAAAAAAAATATTATTGATTGATATACTTTTAAATTTTGTGATTAATTGCTAAAAATTTAATTGTATGAATTTTCCGATTAATGATTCGGTAATGTCTTTGATCTAAAGATAAATTAATCTTTATCAAGATTGTTTGCATGTTCGATTAATGTAATTTAACGAAATTTAATCCGTTTGCTAAATTAAGTTTTTTAATTTTTAATTTAACTTTTTCAGGTTTTAATTAACTTTTACAGTTAATAGAATTTTTGTGAAACAGATACAATGCTATTACAATTTTAAATTATAACAAACATTTCATCGAAAAGAAATACATTTATTACTTTGTAATTATTTAATAATTATTTAATGTATTATGTTGCAAATAAGCAACATTAATAATGATCTTTATGTTTTATGAAATAATTTCGATTGAAAAATTTTATTAGAATTTTTATTATAAATACTAAACAAAGTAAATTTATTTTGAAAATTTAGAATGGAGTTTAGTAATAACTGAAATGTTACTTAAAAATAATTTTCAAATGATATTTCAACGTTTTAATGCCATTATTAACCTTTCCAGATTTTAATTAAGATTTTTACAGTTAATAATATTTTTGTGAAAGAAATACAATGCTATTTTACAATTTTAAATTGTAATAAATATTTCATTGAAAAGAAATACATTTATTACTTTGTAATTATTTAATAATTACTTAATATATTGTGTTGTAAATATGCAACATTAATAATGTTTATCTTTATCTTTTAATTCACTACGTATCCAATAAATTCAATTATAGTATTAAAAGTTATAAAAATTCTCAAAGTTTTTTAATATCGATTCTTTATTTTTTTCAGATTAAAATCATAATAATAATAATTCAATTTAGAGACAATTTTATAAAGAATTCGAACTAAATTACTCTTTACATTTCTCACAAATTTACATAACAAAATGTACACGTTCACAATAAGATAATTTAAAAGAGAATCAACGATCAGTTTGACCTTTACAACACAATTTATCAATCGTTCGCATTGTTTCCGCCCTCTTGTGTTTCCATCTTCTCATCTGTTTTTTCTTTTCCTCGTCGTACGGACACTCCGTTTTGGGTATCCTTTTACCCCTATCCTTCTTGTCTCTTGTAACGGGGAATACGGATGGACCAACGTCCACGACTTTCAATATCTCGATAGGATTCAACGCGAATTGGCTGCATTCCGGTGAACCGATGGTCAATACCAGAACCGTGACGAATTTCAAGAAATACGTTGCTCTCAATAGATAAACGGCTCCTTCACCATAACTGAACAACGGTGGTCCCAAAGAGTTCACATCGCACATGTAATAAGCTCCACAGAACTTGAAGATACCCAAACACGAGCTCTCGCACGTTAAAATGCCAAAATTGTACTTGAGGAACATTTGTTCCATCGATTGCCACAGGTATTTGCCCGACTTTGCGTACAATCTCCCGCAAATCGCTGGCAAAACCTTCGCCTCGAACATAGTCTCGCCGATCTTGAAATGGCTCATCAAGTATCTGTTCCAACAATTCACGTGACTGTATTCATTTTTGGTCGACTTGAACTCCGCTTCTAATTTACTGTGCGTATAATACCTGTCACCGCACATAACGATCACGTCGAGGATCTTCGAGCTCCAATATTCCGGTGCCATGATTCTGGTCATACCGGCGCAAACCACGTAACAAGCGTACGTTTGCATTCCACGATTCTCCCTCTCGAACATCCCATCCGTGATGTGAATCTCGCCCCACAACGAGAACAATTTGTTCGATTCTTCCACGACGTATTGATGCCACCGCATCTTCCCTACCGTAAATTCTTTCCCCTTCTTCTTCTGGGGGAGAGTCAACCCCTTGGCCCAAGTGATCTTGTTCAGTTTCAACCATGTTGGCGTCTCGATAGGCTCCTTCAGATCGCCCTCTTCTTGCTCGATCGTGCAAGGATCTCTCATGTCTAGAGGATCGAAGGGGCAATCGTCGATGGTCTTCTTCTTCACGGGCCGCGTAGCTGGCTTGGGCGCCCCTCGTTGCAGCAACTTCAAGTTGTGGATTTGACAACAGAGATGGGTCACGTGAAAGATTTGAATCGTGAAAAACTTCTCTTCGAAAATGGCTTCTTCGGTAGTTGGTACCTCTGGCTTCTCTGTTTTTGGTAGATCCGCGGTTTCCGGTTCAGTCACATCCTCTGCTGGTTTCTCTGCTTCTTTAGCTTCCTCGGGAGTTTTCTTTTCGACTTCATTTTCCGGCTTCTTTTCTGGTTCTTTTTCTGGTTCTTTTTTTGGTTCTTTTTCTGGTTCTTTTTCTGGTTCTTTTTCTGGTTTCTTTTCTGGTTCCTTTTCGGGCTCTTTTTCCGGTTCCTTTTTCGGCTCTTTTTCTGGTTTTGGAGGGCTGTAAACGTAGGCCCTTAATAGAAGGATCATCAGATGTCGTCTGAGCGATTCCTTCGAGCAAAATTTCATGATGCAAGCGTATCCATTGTCGTCCCA